TTCTCACTTTAGCAAGATCAGTGTGGTCTGCCTCTGTCTCCCCTCCCTGTACTGAGGTCCAGAAAATGCCTCCATACAGATAGCCAGGTTAATTATGTGACACATCATATTTCATTCTTTCCCTCAGAAGTGACAGCCCTGTATTTCATATTGTCCAGTGTCTGAGCAATTGTTCCATATATTTTGTCTAGTTTTTTTTTTAGCTGTTTATAGAGAAGAGCAAGTCTAGCTCCAACCACTCCCTCACTCCCCTCCTTTCTGGCCTTAAGCTGGCCAGAACAGCCAACTTAAGCTGTTTTGATTTACTTTTGAGTAATCTTACTTGGGACTTTAGAGGGCATCTTCACAGATGCTTACTCAACTGTGAAATAAGACCAAGGCATTGTCACATAGACGCCAAAATTACCTTTATAAAGTTTTATTAGAGAAAGCAGACAAGTGACCTTCATAATACTGAACTCCAAAATTAGAAAGAATTCTCCATTCTTGGCACTGGCACTGCCTGGGGACCGCCTGCCTCTGTTAGTTTTAGGATATGGAATACAGAGGACAAGGTTCTCTGTCGGAAGCTCTCTCCTTAGAGGAAGGGAAAAGGGAAAGTGTTGTTCTTTTCCTTCTCACCTCACCAACAAAAGAGGTCACTCCATCTCCCCTAAAGGCAGAGAGACAGAGAGTAGCGAAGAGGATTATGCTAATAGAGTGCCCTTCACATGAAAGAAACCTCAGAATGAGTAAAACAGGCATCCCCTCCCAGAAGTCTGTTTCCTTTACAAATTTTTACCTAATTTCCCAGTCCTTCCCAACCACATTCTTCTTACATATGTTCTCCTACTTTTCTATTAATCCTTAAAACTTTTCAACCCAAAATTATATTCTAAATACATCAGGTAAACTTTCTAAAGTTAGGAAGACAGGAAGATAGTATACTAGCTATCTGTTTTTACCTTACAGTGATTGCTCAAATTCAACAGCCAGCTAATATCCTTCCACATCTCTCTCAAAGGGACAACTACCTTTGTTTCAGCAGGTAGGCAGGCATACAGGAGCAGGGCAGGAGAGGGCCCCACTACGACCAGGAATGTCAGGCAACCATGAGGTGATGATCAGGCAGTTGTAAAGCTGTCTCTCGAAAATAATGGTCACAGCTGGCGCCAGGAAAAGGCAGTCTCGTGGCGTGATGCCTCCAGCTTTGTTCTTTTTGCTTAGGATTGTCTTGACTATACAGACTCCTTTTGGGTTCCATATGAATTTTAAGATAGTGTTTTTCTAATTATGTGGAGAATGTCAATGGTAGTTTGATGGGAATTGCATTGAATCTATAAATTACTTGGGGCAGTATGGCCATTTTCATGATATTGATTCTTCCTATCCATGAGCATAAAATGTTTTTTCATTTGTTTGTGTCCTCTTGGATTTCCTCGAAAAGTAGTTTGTAGTTCTCTTTGAAGAGGTCCTTCACTTCCCTTGTTAGCTGTATTCCTAGGTATTTGATTCTCCTTGTAGCAATCGTGAATGGGAGTTTATTCACTATTTGGCTTTCTGCTTGTCTGTTGGTGTATAGGAATGTTTGTGATTTTTGCACATTGATTTTGTATCCTGAGACTTTGCTGAAGTTACTTGTTAGATTAAGAAGCTTTTGGACTAAGATGACAGGGTTTTCTAGATTGAGAATCATGTCATCTGCAAACAATGACAATTTGATTTCCTCTCTTTCCATTTGAATACCCTTTATTTCTTTCACCTGCCTGATTGCCCAGGCCAGAATTTCCAATACTATGTTGAAAAGGAGTGGTGAGAGAGGGCATCCTTGTCCTGTGCTTGTTTTCAAAGGGACTACCTCCAGCTTTTGCCCATTCAGTATGATATTGGCTGTGGGTTTGTCATAAATGGCTCTTATTATTTTGAGGTAGTTTCCTTCAATACTGAGTTTATTGAGAGTTTTGAATGAATTTTATTGAAGGCCTTTTCTACATCTATTGAGATAATCATGTGGTTTTTGTCTTTAGTTCTGTTTTTGTGATGAGTTACATTTATTAATTTGCATATGTTGAAACAGCCTTACATCCTGGGCATGAAGTTGACTTGATTGTAGTGGGTAAGTTTTTGATGTGCTGCAGGTTTCAATTTGCCAGTATTTTACTGAGAATTTTTTCATCAATGTTCATCAGAGATACTGGCCTGGAGTGGTGGTGGTGGTGGTGGTGGTGTATCTCTGCCAGGTTTTGGTATCAGGGTGATGCTGGTCTCATAAAATGTGTTAGGGAGAAGTCCCTCCTTTTCAATTGTTTGGAATAGTTTCAGAAGAAATGGTACCAGTTCCACTTTGTACCTCTGGTATAATTCAGCTATAAATCCATCTGGTCCTGAGCTTTTTTTTTTTTTTTTTTTTTTTTTGGTATGCTATTTATTACTGCCTCAATTTCATAATTTCATAACTAGTTATTGGTCTATTCAGGGATTCAAATTCTTCCTGGTTCTGTCTTGGGAGAGTGTATATGTCCAGGAATTTATCCATTTTTTCTAGATTTTCTAGTTTATTTTCACAGAGGCATTTACAGTATTCTCTGATGGTTGTTTGTATTTTCATGGGGTCAGTAGTGCTATCCCCTTTATCACTTTTATTGTGTCTATTTGATTTTTCTCTCTTCTTTGTTAATCTAGCTAGTAGTCTATTTTATTAATTTGTTCACAATAACAGCTCCTGGACTCATTGATTTTTTAAGGATTTTTTTTTGTCTATCTCCCTCAGTTCTTCTCTGATTTTGGTTATTTCTTGTCTTTGGCTAGCTTTGGGATTTGTTTGCTCTTGGTTCTGTAGTTCTTTTAGTTGTGATGTTAGGATGTTGATTTGAGATCTTTCTAGCTTTTTGTTGTGGGCATTTAGTGCTATAAATTTCCCTCTTAACACTGCTTTAGCTGTGTCCAAGTGATTCTGGTATATTGTCTCTTTGTTTTAATTAGTTTCAATTAGTTCAAAGAACTTCTTGATTTCTGCCTTAATTTTGTTATTTATGCAGGAGTCATTCAGAAGCAGGTTGTTCAACTTCCGTGTAGTTTTGTGGTTTTGAGTGAGTTTGTTAATCTTGAGTTCCAATTTGATTGCTCTGTGGTCTGAGAAACTGTTTGTTATGATTTCAGTTCTTTTGCATTTGCTGAGGAATGATGTTTTACTTCCAATTATGTGATCAGTTTTACAGTAAGTGCACCATATGGTGCTGAGAAGAATGTATATTCTGTTGTTTTGGGGTAGAGAGTTCTGTAGATAACTATCAGTTCCATTTGATCCAGAGCTGAGTTCAAGTACTGAATATTTCTGTTAATTTTTTGTTTTGATCATCTGTCTAATATTGACAGTGGGATGTTAAAATTTCCCACTATAATTGTGTGGGAGTCTAAGTTTCTTTGTAGAGCTCTAAGAACTTGTTTTATGAATCTGGGTGCTCCTGTATTAGGTGCCTCTATATTTAGGACAGTTAGGTCTTCTTGTTGAATTGAACCCTTTACCATTATGTAATGCCCTTCTTTGTCTTTTTGGATCTTTGTTGATTTAAAATCTGTTTTGTCAGAAACTAGGATTGCAACCCTTGCTTTTTTCTGCTTTCCATTTGCTTGGTAAATTTTCCTCCAACCCTTTATTTTGAGCATAAATGTGCAATGGGTCTCTTGAATACAGCACACCAATGGGTCTTAACTCTTTATCCAGCTTTCCATTCTTTGTCCTTTAATTGGGGCATCTAGCCCTTTTACATTTAAGGTTAATATCATTATGTGTCAATTTGATCCTGTCATCATGATGCTGCTGGCTATTTTGCAGACTTGTTAATGTAGTTGCTTTATAGCATCATTGGTCTGTATACTTCAGTGTGTTTTTGTAGTGGCTGGTAATGGTTTTTCCATTCCATATTCAGAGCTTTCTTCAGGAGCTCAAGGCAGGTTTGGTGGCAACAAATTCCCTCTGTATTTTCTTATCTGAGAAAGATTTTATTTCACCGTCACTTATGAAGCTTAGTTTGAGTGGATATTAAATTCTGGATTGGAAATTATTTTCTTTAAGAACGTTGAATATTGCTCCCCAATCTCTTCTGGCTTGTAGGGTTTCCACTGAGATGTCCACAGTTAGTCTGTTGGACTTCCCTTTGTAGGTGATCTGGCCTTTCTCTCTGGCTGCCCTTAACATTTTTTCCTTCATTTCAACCTTGGAAAATTTGATGATTATGTATCTTGGGGTTAATCTTCTCATGGAATATCTTACTTGGGGTCCCTGTATTTCCTGAATGTTGGCCTGTTTTTCTAGTTTAGGGAAGTTCTCCTGGATGATACCCTGAAGTATGTTTTCCAACATGGTTCCATTCTCCCATCTCTTTCAGGTATCCCAATCAGTCATAGGTTCAGTCTTTGTACATAATTCCATAGTTCTCAGAGGTTTTGTTAATTCTTTTTCATTTATTTTTCTCTAATCTTGTCTGCCTATCTTATTTCAGCAAGATAGCTTTTAAGCTCTGAGATTCTCTCCTCTGCTTGGTCTACTCAGTATTGATACTTGTTGTTGCATTGTGAAGTTCTCATGTTATGTTTTTCAGTTCCCTCAGGTCATTTATGTTTCTTGCTAAACTGTTATTCTGGTTAATAGCTCCTGTAATGTTTTACCATGGTTCTTAGCTTCTTTGCATTGGGTTAGAATATACTCCTTTAGCTCAGCCAATTTCATTATTACCCATCTTCTGAAGCCTACTTGTGTCAACTCATTCATCTCAGTCTCAGCCCAGTTCAGTGCCCTTGCTGAAAAGGTGTTGTGATCATTTGGAGAAGAGGCACTCTGGCTTTTTTAATCTTCTGTGTTTTTGTGTTGATTTTTTCTTATCTTCATGGGTTTACTTACCTTCGATCTTTGAGGCTCCTGACCTTTGAATGGGGTTTTTGTGAGGTCTTTTTTGTTGATGTTGTTGCTGTTGTTTCTTTCTGTTTGTTTTTCTTTTAACAGTCAGGTCCCTCTTCTGCAGGGCTGCTGCAGTTTGCTGGCGATCCACTCTACATCCTATTTGCCTGGGTCCCTCTTGCACCTGGAAGTATCACCAGTAGAGGCTGCAGAACAACAAACATAGCTGTGTGCTCCTTGTTCTGGAAGTTCCATCCCAGAGGGACACCGACCTGATGCCTGTTGGAACTCTCCTGCTTGAGGTGTCTGGTTACCCCTGTTGGGGATCTCACCCAGTCAGGAAGCACGGGATCAGAGACCTGCTTAACAAAGCACTCTGACTGCCCCTGGGGATAGTGGGTGCACTGTGCTGGGGGGAATATCACTCATCTAGACTACCCAGCCTCCTCAGAGCCAGCAGGTGGGAAAGATTAAGTCTGCTGAACCAGATACCACAGCCACCCCTCCCCCCAGGTACTCCATCCCAGGGAGATCAGAATTCTCTCCATAAACCCCCGGCTGGAGTTGCTGAAATTCCCACAGGGAGACCCCACTTGGTGAGAAAGGATGGATCCAGGTCCCACCTAAAGAGGTAGTCTGGCCACAATCTGCCACAGCTGCTGTGTTGCACTTTGGGGAATTCCTCCCACTAAAAACCGCCCAGCCTTCCTGCACCGGATCAGAAAATGACTGACTGGAGTCACAGTGATGGCAGCCGCCCCTCCCCACTGGTAACTCGGTTGTCTTAGGCTGTCTCCAGTCTACTGTGTCTGGCCACAACGAAAGTGGTCACCAAGAGTCTGCACAGTTCTGTGCTTGGAACCAAAGGCCCTGGTAGCATGGGCTCAGGAGGGGATCTCCTGATCCAAGGGTTTCACAGATCCATGAAAAAAGCATGGTTTCCCTGGCAAGGTAGCACAATCACTCTCCACCTCCCTTGGCTGGGGGTGGGTGGGAGCTCCCCTTTCCCTGTGAAGCTCCCAGTTGGGCCATCACTCTACCCTGCTTTCCCTCACTCTGCTTGGGTCACAGCAAATGCTAGTCAGTCCCATTGAGAGAACCTGGATACCTCAGCTGAAGGTGTGGTATTTACTCGCTGTTTTTGTTCTTCTACGTTAGAGCTGCAGACCAGAGCTGCTACTAATCAGCCATACTGGCCCCTCCACACTAAAGCTTTTGAATGAACCTTCACCCATGCTTTCAAAAACTTGCCTTGGTCTCTCACTCTGCCTTATGCTCCTCAGTTGAATTCTTTCTCCTGAGGAAGCAAGAATTGAGGTTGCTGCAGACCCATATGGATTCACCACTGGTAACACTTTTGGCCAAATACATAAACCAGCAAGCTGATAATTATGCCAGTTTGCCAATCATAACTAAAACTGTGTTGTTACAACCCTGCCTTGTGTACAGAGGTTTCAGTGATTCCCGGAAAATGGCGAATGAAAGGTCAAGACATCAGTAAGAGTTGTTGTTGTTGTTGTTGTTGTTGTTGTTGTTGTTTTGACATGAATATGCAGCTGTTAACGAAGCTGTATCCCCCAGTTCCTAGGAAAGGTAACATTTGTATCAATTGGGTGAAGGCCTCTTTCAAGAATATATTCATTTTCAGGTATCTATTATGAGTCTTGGCACTAATCCAAACATCAACAGCAGTGTTTCAATCATGATGTGCTGATACATACTTCCCAAAATAGTTATAATAAAGAGAATAAGGCAGAAAATCGGACATGATCTGCTGGTGGGGAAAGCCAAAATAAAACAAGCTTCCAAGTAAAATGAAGGCTGCCACGGCTATGAAGCAACATAAATAAAAACCACTGGCTACAGAGTCTTTTTCTGCAGAAGACGGAAAGCAGTCATATGGCCAGACAAATTAAGGCACAATGGATCGGCCAAAACAATCTTTATTCAGCACTAGAGTGGTTTCTGCCAAACAAAAGGTATGTGGAACATGACTCAATTTGGCTTATTGCAAGCTTTAGTGAAGAATTATAATTTGTGATAAAGAATGCCAAATGAGCAGTTTTGTGATGTAAACGATACATTAGGGAAATAAGGAGAACATGAACAGATCATTGAAATTGTTAGAATCCAAGCATTTAAAGGGTGAATCAAGGCAGTAATCTTGCGTTAACTTCACACATTTTGCTTTTCTCCAAGTTGGAGCCACTTAAGAAATTCCAGTTAGCCAATGTGATTAAGAAATAAAGTGTCACTCTGTGATTTGGTTTGGTTTATTTGTTTGTTTCTGGGGTCTGGGGTGGCATTGCAAATCACTGCTCCCTCAGTTACATCCTCAAGATAGTCCTAACTAAATAAAGGCCTTTGGTAATTACAGAAGTGTTTATTTTCAGCAGTGCCTGTACCTTTTCCTTTAGCTAAATCATCTGTAGAGATCTCATTCTTTAGTCTAGACTGTGCTACGTTTTAAACAAACTGCAGTACCTACATTTGAGAGGACCTTGATTATCCTTTGCATTTAGGAGTCCCTAGTCACATTTCAGGCTCCCAAGCTACCTTTGAAGGGAGATTTATGTTTTTTAAGTACAATTTGGCATACAGCAACCTCAAGAGGAGATTGTAAACAGAGACTAGATAGAGGTAATTCAAGTATTTCACTCTGACAACAACCAACACATAGTCGTGTGTGTCCTGAAAGACTCAACATTATTAAGAAACCCTATTGGGTGCAGTCCCCCAAGCCCACCTCAAAGGGCTCAGGCTACCAACACACGCATTCTGTTTACAGGGTTTATGACTCTTCCTTACACTCAGGCACTAAAACATTCTGAAAACATGCCAATGGTGTGGTTCAAATTCTCTTTTATACATTTGACAAGTGAATTCTGGAATATCAGGTTGACCCAGCAGTGTAACTTCTAACAATAGAAAGATATTAAAACTAATTTATAAGCTTGTAAAGATATATTTCTTTTCATTTAATTATAAATAATGCTTTCAGCAGATTATTTTTACCAAAATTAATAGAAATAACTTGTCACTAGAGAAAAAGTAAAACCTGCCTCCATTGTATTTAAATTCCTCTTCCAGAGGCCCTCTAACAGAAGTTAAGGTGTTTGGTTTATGCTACTACTTTGGGGTAAGATGCTTCTTTTTCAATTTCATTGGGAAATTCCATCAGAAAAGAGCATTATGCTTTTATCTCTGTCTGTCTCTTTCTCTCTGTGTTCTACATTTTTTTTAAGAAAAATGTAAAATCCGATCTCCACAGTCCAAATAAAATGAAATATTATAGCAATTATCCAGGTCATTCAGGGGAAAACAGTAGATGGGAAAACAGTAGAGATGATTTGGGAAACGCTTTCTTTTTGCTTGAGTTATGTACAGGGTTGCTTAAATTACTTTAGCACTTTGGCATATTATTTGCTTCGGAGTCATTGTACAGTTAGTCTAAGGCCAAAAATATCATATTGAAAATCATTCTTATGTCCTTTTACATACATGTCATTTATAAACTTAAAAAACTTAGCCAGCTAAACACTTTAAACACACATGCATACACAGGTACATATATTTCCTATAGAAGTTTGAGCTTTCCTCTATAGATTTCTATTCACCCTCATAATTATTTATAATGAATTGTAGTGTTTTGCATGTTGTTTCCTCAGATGGTTTCTAGCCAGTAATTAAAGGAAGGAACCTTCGCTCCATCTGAATTTCCAGCTAGAAACTGACAGCTCCTCCTACCACAACAATTCCCAAATTAAAATTGAGAGTTTACAGAATAGAAATTTCTGGTTTAAGGAATATTCTGGCATTGTAATGCTCTGTCTGATTAGAATTTACATAGCAAAAAAAAAAATACAATTAGTTGATTCGACATATTTGCTCACTTCTTTACTATTTAGGATTTATACAATACCATGGATTCAGAACTATTTAATTCAGCTCTGCTAACCAGTAGTTAGTTCCATATTGCACTTTCTTCTTCTAGTATATTGTATCACTATAGTATAATGTAGTGTAATGATAGCTGTCGTTAAGTAGCAGCAGGACCACTGGCACAATATCAAGTTGAGAGAAGAAAAGAGAACCCTTTGTATATGAGTCACAAAATTCTTTCACTTAAAAAAGTTACTTGGTTCTAAACCACAAATATCCAATAATAATAAATAGGAGAACAAATTTTATAATATGTTATTATAAGAAAAACAAAAGTGTCCAAAGATGTCATGTCTCTACTCTTAGGTCGGTGCAAAAGTGAATCCAATTTTTACCATTACTTTTAATAGTAAAAAGCGCAATCATTTTTGCACCAACCTAATACATATTCACAAATGTTAAACACTAAATATAAAATCAATATGTGAATATTATGAAAATTTTAGAAAGTATGAAAGATATTTGGAGAATGTAAAAATCAGCTCTATTTCACTACTCAGAGAAAACCACTGTAAATATTGTGGTCAAAGTCTTTTCAGGTTTTTTCTATGTATGTAGGTGGGTTATGCATGTTATGCATAATTAATATAATGTGTGATTTATTCTATAACCTGCTTTTTCCTCTTAGTATACAATGAGCATTTATCTTTGTTGTGGAATAGTCTTCAAAAACATGTAATCACATCACATAAACATACCCTAACTTATTTAACCAATTCCCTAGCACTGTATTTGTAAGCTGTTTCTAATTTTTCTGCTTTTACAAATACTGCTGCAATAAATATTTTAGTATCCGGCTCAGAATATTTTCTTAGGATACACTCTTAGATGCAGAATTACTCTTAAAAAGCATATTGCATATTTTAAGGCTTTTGATAGGTTGCCAAAATTCAGTCTAGAAAAACTGTTATAATTTACATTCCCACCAATATTCTATGAGGGTGCACATATACTAATCTTTTAAAATTATTGCCACTCTAAAATATTAAAATTAGTCTTTCATTTGAATTACTGTTTACTTGATTACTGCTACTAAAGTTCAGCATGTGTTCCAAATGAACTTCCTTTGTGACTGGCCTTTTTGTATCTTTTGTCATGTTTCCACTGGGGTAAAAAAAAATTTAAGTAAATCCCTTTTATTTATTTATTTATTTACCTATTTATTTTTGAGACAGGGTCTCACGCTGTTGCCCAAGCTGGAGGGCATTGGTGTAGTCCCGGCTCACTGTAGCCTCCACCTCCTGGGCTCAAGTGATCCTCCTGCCTCAGCCTCCTATCTGGGACTATAGGCATGCATCACCACACCCAGCTGATTTTTTACTTTTTGTAAAGACAGAGTCTTCCTGTATTGCCTGGGCTGCTCTTAAACACTTGGCCACATGAGATCCTCCAGCCACAGCCTCCCAAAGTGCTAGGATTACAGGCATGAGCCGCCATGGCCGACGTAAATTTCTTCTTAATACCTCCTAAAATATGAGACGATAGCGCAATTCAAGAGATCTTACCTCTTCTGACTTAAAAGCGAAATAGTGGATCCCAGCTTTATTACTTGCAATATTACAAGACTAAGGTAATTGCAAGTCTAAGGTCTTGTAATATTTCACAGAAACAGTGTTTTTAAATAATCATCAAGCTAGATCTTGTTGTTATTCTGCAACTCTGTACACTTTGTATTCCACATCTTCACTTGAATGTTTAATAGGAATCTTAAACTTAAAATGTACAAACAGAACCCCTGATTCCTCACCCCTGCCCTGGCATACTCCTCTCCCAGTCTCAGTAAATAGTTCCATTCACCCAGTTGATCAGGCCAAAGAAGAGAAGTCATCTTAACATATCCTTTTCCCTCACATCTCATCTCCCACTTACCAGCAAATCCTTTTGGCTCTAACTTCAGAACACCACAAATCTGACCACCTCCTACCCCCTCCACAGCTGTCTTAGTTAAATCCACCATCAGCTCAACTCCTGTTTTCCTTGCTTCTAATCTTGCCCTCCTAAAATTTTACTCTTCCCATCATGGCACGGTGGCCTCTTTAGACATAAATCAAATCATATCACTGTCCTTTACTCAACCTTCCAAAGGCTTCCCAACACATTTAGGATGAGTGATTAGTATTAGTTATTATTGGAGTGAATTTTGTTCTGCTTTCTCACACAGTACTCATTGGCAGCTTCATTTTGTGTTAAGTGTGAAAATATGGCCGACTACCACAGCTCATGCCTGTAATCCTAGCACTTTGGGATGCCAAGATGGGAGGATAGCTTGAGTCCAGGAGTTTGAGACCAGCCTGAGCAACATGGCGAGACCCTGTACAAAAAAAATCAAAAGTAAAAGCAAGCAAGGGCAGGCAGGGTAGCACGTACCTGAGATCCTAGCTCCTCAGCAGACTGAGGTGGGAGGATTGCTTGAGCCTAGGAGGTTGAGGCTGCAGTGAGCTGTGTTTGTGCCATCGCACTTCACCCTGGGCAACAGAGGGAGACACTTTTGTGATGAAGAATGCCAAATGGGCAGGCCCCAAATGGGCCCCAGGTAATTTGGTTCCTCTCCAGCTGTACCTCTTAGCACTTGCTCCTTGCTCATTCTAGGCACACAGGTCACCTGGCTGCTCACTGAGAACACCATGCTCATTCCCCTTCTCAGGATTTTGTACATTTCTGTTCTGTGGCCTAGAACTCGGCATGGGTTCTTCCTCCACTTCATGTAGGTCTCTGCTCTAATGGTGCCTCCTCAGAGAAGTGTCCCCTGACAACTCTCTGAAATATCATTCCAGCCATGACTCTGAACCCCTTTATTCTGTTTCACATATATCTGAAGCATTTATTACTATCTGATACCGTGTGTGTGTGCGCGTGTGTGTGTATGTGTGCATGTGTGTGTGTGTATGTGTGCGTGCGTGTGTGTGTGTGATGTAGACTCCACAAGGGCTGAGGTTTCTTTGTTCTGTTTACCCATATCTTCAGCTCTTAGAATAATAGTGCATACTCAATAAAAATGTGTTCTTCCCTCCACTTCCATTGACCCTAAAAACGTATGCTAGAATCATGCTGATCCATGGAAAGAGGACTGTATTATTTTCTATTACGTTCTGTATGTTTTCCTCAGCTTCCTCCAAAAAGACTTACTCACACTATTTGTCAAAATAAGTGCTGGTCATTGATATGAAAAGGGAGCACAACTGGTCATACAGTCCATTTCCCTGGTTTAGCTGGATAATACATTATTAAACTCCTTTCACAGAACAGTCAGAGGAATCCCAAAACTTTGTGGCTAATTTTCAATTGTATTTGAGTTCACAAGTGACGATTACCC